CATATTCGCAATGTATTTGAATGTTAAACTATTATTTATAATGTAAACTAGGCTTGTACTTTACACGCATTCACATATAGATGGAAAAGATCATCCTCTTCGCATGAGCAAAAAAGTCCTTGGCATAACAGCAGAGTGGACCGGTATACTACGGTCTATTTAAACTGACCAGTGTAACCTTTTATATGTTTGGTTTGGTTGACTGTATTTTATTTTGATAATGAACAAATTTCCACCGTTTGGGATAAGATTAAGATTTTTTATGTTTTTTAAAAAAGTTCCTCGTGTTCATCAAGGCTGCATACAGAAAAAAAACAGTAGTATTGTGAAATATTATTAGAAATTTTCTCTGTTAATATATTTTAAAATATAATTTATTACTGTGATGCAAACCTGAATTTTCGTCAGCCATTTATCCAGTCTTCAGTGCCACACAATCCTTCAGAAATAAATGTAATATGCTGATTTATTATCAATGTTGAAAACAGTTGTGCTGCTTAATATTTTTTGGAACCTGTGATACTTTTTGTCAGTATTCTTTGATAAAAAGTTAAAAATAACAACATTTATTCAAAATAGAAATCTTTTCTTACCATATTCTATCACCTTTTATCAATTTAACATGTCCTTGCTGAAAAAAAACAAACACATTTATTTCAAAAAAGAAAAGAAAAAAAATTACTGAACCCAAACTTTTGAATGAATGTTAACATGACAATTGTCCTGGAAGGGATTTTTAAATTGCAAACAATTTCTGGGTTTTGGCATTGTTTTCCTGTTAACATGCTCTCTACAGTCCTCATATATTATATATGTCGATTATGTACAATGACTGCATGCTATTGTTCCAAACTTATTTTTCCCTCATTATCTTCAAGTATGAAAGCAATAAGAACACAAAGCCTGTGCATTTTACTCAATTTAGAAATATAGGACATGTCTGGGAAAAAGAGGATATATAGTCATCCTAACAAGACAATATAGTGTTATGCAAATAACATTAAAGTGCAAATTCGGTTTGAATGTTTCAATTTGATCTCAAATTTTGTTTCAGTATTAGTTTTTCCATGTGAAATGTCAATATGCATGTTCTATTTGTGCTCCATTTTTCTGTATTTCCTCGCACACTTTGCAGCTCTGCAGAGGCGTTAGACTGTCCGTTTTCTCTCGACTGGCCTGTCATTCATTCTGCTTGATGTGACTGTTGCCATATTTTGTTTATTGAGCAGCACAGCGTGTATGTGCTTTGAACTGTCTGTCTGTGTTTCTCTGAACGTATGTGTTCAGAATATGCTGTCTTGGCATTTCCAAGACCATTTAAAAGGGTAAAACAGGAAATAAAAGCACTGCTAAAGCCTCAGCTCTGCTGTCAGGATGCTGTATCGGATCTGACAGCCAATAAAACTGGCCTGTTACATCTGACTTACCAAAGTGGCCTGGCCTTTACTGGAAAGATGGGCATACTTCCTGATTTATTTTGCTGCTGATGTCAGCCACTCAGTTGCAAAGATGCACATAATTGTTGTGACAATGGCAACGTTTAATGAGGTTTTGCTTTTATTCTACAGCCTGATTCTTATTTTACACCGTGCTCTAGGTTACCTTTTTTGGTCCCACTTTATATTAAGTGGCCTTAACTACTATGTACTTGCATCAAAAAATAAATACAATGTACTTAGTGTTCATATTGTATTGCAAAACACTTCTGCTGCTAATGAGGTGGGATACGGGTAAGGATAGGGACAGGTTTGGTGGTATGGGTAGGTTTAAGGGTGGGTTAAGGTGTAAGGGATGGGTCAACAGTGTAATTGTACATGTGATTACAGAAATTAATTACAGATGTAATTACATGCAGGTATTTTTAAAATATAAGTACAATGTAAAAACGTATGTACACAATAAGTGCATTGTACCAAGTTATTAATTTAAATGTAAGTACATAGTAGTTAAGGCCACTTAATATAAAGTGGGACCCCTTTTTTATTACATTCTGTATTAACTGGACAACATTGCTAAATGAATGAAAGAAATCAGGATAGAAATATATTATTGTATAGTAGTATTGAAGTCAGTATATTTCAGAAGGAGATGATTGTATTCAATAAAATTAAGTGATTCAAATTCAAATATTTAATATTAAATAATAAACTTAAAAATGAATATTTTCTAGTATGCAAATCTATTCGAATGACTAAAAATATGATAACAAAATATTCAAATAATCCTTCAACATTTATTTTTTAGGACTTACATGTTTCTCTCTATCTCTGTGTGTGTACATACTCTATAGAAGCACGATCAAGGACAGATCCTACTGGAAGCTGTCTGCAAGCACCTGGAGCTGACCGAGAGAGATTATTTTGGGTTGCATCTGGCCGACGACTCCTCTGATAGCCCGGTGAGTTCAGAGGTAAAGCTCAAAGATGTGCCGGAGCCGAGCCAGTCTGCCCTCAGGGATTCATGGAGGTTTTGCTTGGAGCATTTGAGGATAGAGTGTGTGAATGGCCAGTATTCTTGAAGTAGGTTCACATTTAGGAATGTAGGACACACAGTGGTTCAGGATTAAAGATCCTGTGAAACATCTTACCCTTTTGGGTGGCCCAACTCGTTTTAAACACCACAACAACATTGGTGTATATTAGTCACAAAAAATTACATCATGCAGTCCTAACCCGAACCCAAACACATTAATAGATGTATTTGTGTTGTATGTATACTATCAGTATTCATGTTACACCTTCATCAGTCTACCGGTAGGCATCTACCAATCGCTCGATCTGTGGTGGAACAGACTTTGTAGTTCTATTGATTCAGCTGAAACTGGATCAAAGTTAAAGAGTTTTTTACTCCACAAACACACTCAGTTTGTCTCTTTGTGTTGTAACTGCAGATAAGTACATCTCCACCTCCCCACAGCAGAAAACACAAGCCTATTGAATTATTGAGTGGCATTAGGTTGTGTTGGACTGTTGCCATGTTATTAAGGTTTTTCTTCCTCTCTCTCTACCTCTGTCTCTCTCTTTCTTTCTTTCTTTCTTTCTTTCTTTCTTTCTTTCTCTCAATCAATAATTTATAGAGGTGGCTGGATCCAAATAAACCCATAAGGAAGCAATTAAAAAGTAAGTAATTTTATGAAAGGCACCAACCTAGGCTGTTGTTTACCACCAGCCATTGATTATTCTTTCTCCTCCTTTGTATTTGTACATCTTTGTACTTACACAATGTTCTGATGAATTAAATGCTAGGGGGCTCTCCACATCATCTGAACTTCCGGGTGAAATTTTTTGTGAGTGACCCCAACAAACTTCAGGAAGAATATACACGGTGAGTGGATTTCAGCTTTGGTGTATAAAGACCTTAAAAATGGTTTAAAAGATAACGTGCATATTCATTTTTTCTCTAAGATCCCAGTTATACATTAAACATTAGACCGTTTGAAGGGGGGCAGGATATTCTAGTCTTTTTATTGGACAAAAATTTGTCAACAAATTCAGTCATCTATATATAGGTTATATTTTAAATGTGTTTAATTTTTTAATTTTGCCGGCTTTTAAGTGTACACTATAGAATTTAAAGATCCTCAAGGCTAATAGACAAAATCTAAAAACAAATTTGATGTCATGGATTCTTTATTTCTTTTACGTGTATTTATTTAGCAGACTTGAATCTCTTATGTTGTAATCCTCATTTCTAAGGAGGCTGTAAAAGAAGTGCTGTAATACCGAGACCAACAAATAGTTCAGAGAAGTACAGGCTAGAACTGAGATGAGTAAAGCAGTACATGAGTAAAACTACAGTGATTGACCTCCTCACTTGAATTGGCAGTGGTGATTCATAGTGAATCATAGTGATAATGTCGCATTATCTCTTTGTAGTGTTCTTGTAGATCAAACAGTAGAGAATGTCACGAATAATGCCAAGTTCATCATGGGTTCAGTACCCAGGGAATGCATGAACCAATAAAATGTATGCCATGTAAGCCACTTTGAAAGAAAGCAAGTGCCAAATGCGTACAGCAAATGTCAATGTCAAGGAGGAAAACTCTGAACTTGGTGAAAAAACAATAGAAGTTGTTCAAACAGTAGAGCATGGTCATGAGTTTGCTTCCCCATGAAAGCAAGAACTGCTAGGTCATTTTGGATAAAGGCATTTGCCAAATGCATAAATGTAAATGTTTAAATCGTCATGCTATAATCAAATTAGACCAACTTTGGACACCTCGTAACCATGTCTTGGCTTTGGTTTTGATTGGTTAGATAATAAAGCAGTTCTATTTAATGTTAGTGAAGGTCTTTGCACACTGAGTCCGAAATTTCCGTATACGGTTTTTCGTATTTGTCATCCTAAAAATTCGTCATGCACAGAAAGCTTGCACACTGAGTCCGATGCGTATTAATTAATCCGTTGCGAAAAAAATTGCAAAACAGTGGAGTCTTCAAGCAGTGAGGATTATTTTGTTGTCGTCTCGCTTCTTAAAAAAGAGAAAGAAAGGAAATATTGGGTCCATCCAATCCTGAGATACAGAGAGGAAGGAGAGTTCCCCCTCCTTATTAAGGAGTAGCGGGATTATCACGGGCGATTCAAAGTTGAACCTGACAATTTTGGTGTTCGCTTGTACGGTGGCTCTGAATTGTCAAAACATCTCTCAAAATGCTTGCTACGGATGCGAAAAATGCTGAAAATCGAACCTGATCCGAAGTTTTTTTATGACGGACAAAAGTTTCGGAGGCAGTGTGTAAACGTTATTGACACAACATGAGGTCGTATTTATTTTTTAACGTGTGAAAATTTCAGATGAAAATTTCGGACTCCGTGTGCAATGGCCTTTAAACTCCAGTACCTAAACTTTACTGCAGTACAGTATGGCATGGCATTTTATGTAGGAAGTTTGATTTAATATTTCTTATTTTTTAAATATTTAACAATTCACCTCATGAACAGTACATCCGAGTTATTTTTAGTCTAGTGGCTCACAGAGATTATTTGTCTGTTCTTTTTCATCTTTGTAGGTACCAGTATTTTTTACAGATTAAGCAGGACATACTAAGTGGAAGGTGAGCTGGATCATGTGTGGCTGTTTTTAACTGTAAATCTCTTCCTAAATCCAGTTTAAAAGTAGGTTGATAAATGATATCTGTAACTATGTAAATGTATCCCTTCGATATTCATCTTGTGATACCACTGCAGTTTGTGCTGCTGAATTTGCATGTGCTTACATGTTCTTCAATGTTTACTTAAATACAGTAATTTGGTTTGATCTCCAACATTTTACACTGTTAATTTAATATAATTTATATCCCTCCCAGACTGCCCTGTCCACACAATACTGCCGCACTCCTGGCATCGTACACTGTTCAGTGTAAGTATGAGCCATTCGTTGAAAAGAATGGCTGTAGGATCTACATGACAAAGAAGCCACAATCTAAATCAGTTTTTTTTAAGCGGAACAGTATGTGACAGTCAATTACATGTGGTTCGCTTTAATTCTGGTTTGGTCGCACTAACTTTAATGTTACAATTTAAAATCCTTTTTAATGTTATGTTTGGTGTCGAACAAGAGGCGCCTGTAATTCTCTATTTCTTGAGTGAGAGGAATTGATAGCAATCTAGCATAGCAGCAGAATTATAATTAAAGCTGTTTTCCTCCAATGTAATGTCCCACGTTTCTTTCTGATATATTACGGTATCATGCAAACTCAAATCCAGTACTGAGCTTCCAAGCAAACCACCAAAGTACAACAGCGCAAGCTCAGCATGGCACATTCCATCTATGCACAACCTCAACGCTTAACAAGCACTAGCTTGTAAAACGGGAGTAAATGCGAGCAAGAAATCTCTCTGAAGTACAGCAGGCACTAACACAGCCCAGCACATCTTAGTTAACCTAATAGTGCCCATTCGAGACAGAGCAGTGACATGGCATATCCCGGGCCCTCAGGGCTCCGCTTGCCAGATTGAGCTCAGCAATGATGAATCTTGACAGATTTCTGTAGTGAGCACATTTGCTCCGGTCTCTCCAGGGCTTTTAGCATGCAGTTTGGGCACTATATAGGTCAGAGGGGATTCTGTTGCCCAGTTGCCTAGGACAGCGCTATCTATTGCAATTCATTTAGTTTGCTTTAGGGTTTACTGACAAGCTGCCATAGTGGCAGAATTGATGCTAAATGCTACATTTGAGGGGATTTTTTTTGGTCAAAGAATTACTGAACGCTTACATGATAATAAATATTGTAACAGGTGTTTAATAATCCTAAACTCTTGAATAGCTTGAAGCATTAGTGTGTTTTATCTTTTTATTTTAAATGAATGAGGATGATTGTAATGAGATTCCAATGCTTGGCTTAAGTGAAGCTGAATGTTTGGTCTGACAACATTTGGCACTGGTCAACATCAAATAAGACTGCCCAACATGATAAAAAGGAAAAAAATTTTTTTAAGTAATTTAAAATGTGCAAACAGGTGAAGAAATATACAACATGTAATTCATGTTGGGTTTATGTATTTTTGAAGAACATTTATATTATTTATCTGAACAAAATTTTTGATTTATTCACTTAAAAAAAAACTCTTATGTTCTATAGCCTCAAACTTACATATATAAAATATATAGTCTATTTTTACATTCATACACTTTGAATTAGCAGGACTGTACACATTTTAATAATTGTTTTCAGTGATTTTTTTCTAATATAATATTGCTATACTATACTATAATATACTCAAATATAGTATACTACAATTCAAAAGTTTGGAGTAGGTAAGACTATTTTAATGTTTTTGAAAGACGTCGCTTAATACTCACCGATGCTGCATTTATTTGTAAAATCATTTTAATATGTTTTTGGAAAACATAAATGTAGCTTATACCTATGATGGCAAAGCTGAATTCTCAGCAGCCACTACTTCAGTCTTTAGTGTCACATGAACATTGTGAAATCATTCTAATATCCTGATTTGGTGCTCAAAAAACATTTCTGATTAGAACAGCATTTATTTGTATATATATATATTTTTTTTTTGTAATGTAAAAGTAATCACTGTCACTTTTGATAAATAAATGCATCCAATCTATGCATCAATAAAAGTATCCGTTTCTTTTTAAAAAATAAAAAAGTCTATTGTAAAAAAAAAAAATGAAATCTGCATTAGATACATGCAGTTTTGTAGGGCATTTTGCTCAGATTTTTTGGTCACATAATACTCTATGTAAGTCACACACAAAGCAAGGGATTAAGAGATTTAGGCACCAGTGTGTGTCCACCAGTGATGGTATCCCTTTATATACAGTATTAGGTGACCTGGTCTGCATGTTGTACTGTCATGATTCACGGCTGTTATCCGTAACGCTGTGCTTGTATTGTGTGATTCAGCTGAGCTGGGTGATTACAGTGAGGCTGAGAATTTGCCAGGATACCTGTCTGAGTTCTGCTTCATCCCCAACCAGCCTCAGGGCTTTGAAAATGAAGTCACCAAACATCATCAGCAACACAGGTAAGAGTCACCGCTCTAAACTTGTCACTGCACTATTCTAATCAAAAATTCCTATTACTGTCAGAAATTTTGCCACAGTGAAGGAGTCTTGTTGATTTCACATATGGCTTTATGAATATTCATAACTGTTAGTTAACATACTCACGTGTGCTTTCTCAGCGCTCATGGCTCAGTACGCCCACACTAGAGCTGTGCTGAGAACAGGAAGCTCATTGTCCTCCGCATCTTAGCCATACTAACAAATTGGGGGATTCTGAAAGGCACCAATTTCTGTAATTTACACAAGAGTTGTGTACACCCACTTACCTCTACTTCACTGTCTTGTGATGTGAATCTGAAGCACATGTCTTCGTTTTGACTCTTTATTCTCCCTTTTTTTCTGACATGGGCACAGTGGACTTACTCCAGCACAGTCTGAATTCAATTACCTGAACATGGCACGGACGCTGGAACTTTATGGAGTGGAACTGCACTATGCAAGGGTGAGTGAGTCAAAGCTGTTTCATTGTGTATCTACACACAAGCCTCTATGCTACAAATAAAGATAATCAATGAAACAGCAAAGCTCCTGTATGGCTTTAGAGGACTATAATCACCATTTGTGCTTTTATTGTATGGAAAAGAGAAGTATTAACTTTTTGCATAGCTTTTAAGTTATACAGGCTTGGAACGGAAAAAGACAAATTATCTTTTTAGAGTTTTCATTTTTGGGTAGACTAACTCTTTAAACAATATTACACAGCACAGTTTCGAAAATGCTAAATGATCCTCATTAATAATTTCTCTTTTTTCCTGTTCTTGCTTTCAGGATCAAAGCAACACAGAGATTTTCATAGGCGTGATGTCAGCTGGCATTGCCATTTACAAGAACAGGGTACGAATCAACTACTTTCCATGGTAAGTGAACTTGCCTTATTGGTGTCATTCGTGTTGAATTTAAGTCATGAAGTGAAATGAAGCTGAGGTTGCAAACTTAAGCCAGTTTGAATATAATGCATTGCTGTCAGCTTCATAGCGTCATTTCATGCTGTTGCTATGATTTTTTTGTGTTTGTGTGGTCTGCACATTACACTGTTTTAACCAGGTGTGTTTCAACCAGATCATTTGTCTGCTAACACTAAACGTTTAAATGCTGCACAACGCTGCATAATATGAGCCGTTCAGAACATATACAGTGTTTTATATAAGATTTTGTTGTGGGATCCTCAGCATAAAGCAGCAGAAATGAAAGCCAGACAACCAACAAACTGTCCTGTCGCTTGTTGTGGCTGCAGAGATTTATATGGTAGTGAGATCTCCTATTCATTTGTGGAAGAATTGTTTTTATTATTATTACTATTATTTTTTTGTCATTAATGATCTTTGATTATTTTTTGGACCTTGGTTTTAATATTGCTGTTAATTATTAACTGATATTATTAACTAAATTATTATATAACATTTTATAAAAAGTTACAGTTTACTTACATTTACTTACGTTTTCCCCCTGTTATTAAAATGTATTTATTTATTTATTGAATAAGAGGTATTTATACAACAATTTTTACCAATCACTCTAAATTGTTCTCATACTAACTACCATATTTGCATTTAAACCGATTAACAGATTATTGGTTGAAAACATGATAATTTACATTTAAAATTTAAATTA